GGCTGGGGATTCGAACCTGCCACCTTAGGTGTACATGGCTGGCGCCTTAGCCGGTTGAGCTATAGGCGCCGAGCCCTATGTGTGTATTCTTTAAGGCTAGTCAAGTGAACTAGCGGGAGTGGAGCAGGAACAAAGCAATCTATAACTGGTTGAGATACTGTAAACACCACTGCACTTGGACACTTCTATCTCCTCAAATTGTCAGAAAGTAATTCAGGTAAAATACGTTGAGTGCATTACTCTAATTAGCAATAAAAATAAAAAATGAAATGACTTGAGTCTAGCGAGTCATACAACTATCCTCAGAGACTTATTTCAGATCCTGCAGCCATTGCCACAGGGATGTCATGTAGAAAATGTCAGCTGGCAGAACCTAAAGTTCCAGGGGCTCAGATAAAATTTCCCCTAAAATGGGGTTCTGGGAGATCCTCTACTCTGCCAACCGGTTATGAGAATCAGAGTGGAACCCTGGACAGGGTCGTAACCCTAGCTTGCTGCCACTGCCTTGGAGCCCTCCCACCTAGCATCTGACCAAGGAGCTGCAGCTTGTGCTGGCCTGTCCTCAGTGGGCACAGCATGGCCTGCTCCCCACTGCACTTTAGGGCCAGGCATATAGCAGGTGCTCAACTAACATGTGCTCAACACAGGGACACATGGTGTCAGGCCCAAGCAAGAATGTGACAGGTCACTGGGTGACCTGAGGCGCATCTCTACAACCACATGTTGGTACCTATCCTGGGTTCTGGGGCTCAGGCCCTATAGACCCTGATGTGTCCTCCCCACCAGGCATCTGTGCCTCACCTTGCGGTAAGCTGGGCGGAAGCTGTGCGCCAGCCTGCGAAGACTGCCCAGGTCCCGCTGGAAGCCAGCTAGCTCAGCACCCGATGCGTGATATGTCTCGCCCAGGGCCTGGCTGGTGCCTGCCTGCTTTTGCCAGAGAGTTGTCCGCAGTGATAGTAGCAGGTCACAGGTCAGCAACTGGACTACCTGTGGGGTGAGTCACAAGGGAGGAGACAGATGACTCGCCTATCCCCTAGGCAGGGATCCAGCACCTACCAGGCCCTCCCCTAGCCAAACATTCAGCAGTTGAGGAGGAAGTGGAGAGCCCCACTCTGGAAAATACTCCACAAGAAATGAGAACAGCAGAAGGAATAATCCTCTTTCCACTGTCCTAGGAGGTGGGAGATTTGTTCTCCCTGTTCTGAAGTGAGGAAGTAGAGCCTCTGACAGGGCTAGTAGCTTGTGCAGACACAGCACAGGTAGGTGGCAGGGGCAGGAATAAAACTCTGTGGGTCTGAAGGTGCAAGTTCCTCCAGCTCATGGGAGCCTCGCCATGGCTGGCCTCAAGGCTGAGATACCCACAAGATACCCCAAGGGTATCTGAAGTGGCAGCATGGCCTAGAGAAGGAAGGGGGGAGATAAGAAGGTAGAGAAGCAGAATGGTTTAGTGAGAGGTATTTGACTGACCTGGGTTCAATCTCAGCTTTGCCACTTACGGGCTACATGACCCTGGCATAGTACTTAATCTCTCTAATCCTTTGTTTCCTCATCCAAAAAAATGGGAATGGCACCACATTCCCCCTGGTGGTTATGAGTGTCATGTGAGTACAATATCACACAAGTGTGGGCCACGTATACTTCCTGCCCATTACCCATGATGCTGGGTTGCCTGCCTGGCTTCTAACGGTGCCAGGTGGAACAGTGAGGAGCACCAAGTTCTTCTCAGGATGGAACATGAGCAGCCCTCCAGCTCAGATGAACCCCCAGGCTGCTTTTCACCTCACCCAGTTCTGGCTCTTCTTTTCCCCAAGGCTTTGGGCCTGGAAAGTCATGGTGCTATCTAGACCCTGCCATGTACTGCATGAGGCCCTGATCCTTGGCCATGCAGTTTTCTGGCTGCTGTCAGCTTCTAGAGGATGTGGGTGGGGATCCCTGGCACTTCTCAGATGCAAGTGCTGGATGGAGGAATACCTTCAGGGAACCAGAGCAGCAGGCCCATGGCTGGATCCTGCTCTCTGAGGACTACCAGGCTACAGGGTTTTCTAGGTTCATTCACCTCCCACAGAGGGGCTACCTAGGCACCCTAGCCCCAAGGGTATCTGCAAGCCTCTCATTCCACAAACTGAGCCTATACTATTTGATCCTCTCATGAAGACGAACACTACAAGAGACCCATAGGAAGCCCAACAAAGAAACTGAAATGTAACCCCCCACCCACCGCCTTTGGTCCTGGCAGTCCAGGGGTCTTGGGCTCTTTCTGAACATTGCCTTGTCTGTAGGGGCTGACACACTTGTCCTAGATTCACCCCAGCGCCCAGGCCTGGAAAATCTCTTGCTTAAAGTGCCCACTGAGCTGGCTGAGACCTAACCACAATGAGTGGCTCAGAGTGTAACCCTCCAGGACTCTCCTCATCCTTCTCTGGTGTTAAGCCACATGTTCCACAGAAGAACAGTGATGCTCCACTTCTAGCTGTATGCCCTCCCCCTTTTCCCAGGATGGCTGTGCCTTGGGACCCAACAGTGGCAGAAATGCCCTCCAAAAAGGACCTCCTCCTGAATGATAGGGTCTTGGGCTAAGGGGATTGGGAAGTCACGAGGGCTGGGCAGGCTTCCATGATGCACTGTGGAAACACTGCATGGGTACTGCTAGAACATGCAATGCAACTACAATGCACCACAGCTGCTCGCCAGGAGGTGGGTGGCTGTGGAGGCGCCCAGGGCAGTCAGCTGGCTCTGTGTATGTGAATGAGGGGGCAGGGGTCCGCTCAAAGGCTGGCCTGAAGAGGACGAGGGACTCTGGCCAGCTGTGGTTCACTTGGACTGACAGAAGCTGTGGTCTAGAAGGGTCTACGATTCTGGGAGCCCAAGAAAAGTATGGGTAGAAACAGGTTTGCTTCAGAGACCAAAACAGAAGTATAACTAGGGTAATAGGCCACATTTTTTGGATAGGTGGCTGCTAACGTGTTTTCTCTGTCTTTTGGACAGCCTCATACCCCAGGTCCACTTGAGGTGGGAGAAAATGTTCTTACAGACGAGAGCTGAGTACCTTCTAGAGGGGCCAGCTAAGTCCTGACTCACGTGGTTGAGGGTGGGGTCAGAGGTGGCCCCACTGACGTTGAGGCTGCTCCAAAGGTGGCCACTGGCCCTCTCACAATGGCAGAGGGCACTCTGCTGTCCATCTGCTTTCCCAGAGAGTGAGGCGTGCATGGCTTTGCAGGCGTGGAGGACAGCTTTCACCAGGGGGCTCCTGTAGCAGTGACAGGGAAGTTGTAGGCAGGTCAGTGTGTGTCACCTGAGTAACAGGTGGAGGGGCCCAAGCCAGTGACTACTACATCCCACACTGCTGTGACAGCTGGGGCTATGGAGTGCAAAGCTGCCATGACGGTTTCAGGTCCCAGATCTGAAACTCCAACTGAGCCAGGGTCGGCTCCCCACCCACTCCCTGCCACCTCTTCGTTTAGTGACGGATGGGATCAGAAAACCAGGCAAAACCACCAGGACTGCCATTAAAAACCCATTCAAAATGGTCATTCCAATACCTGTGCCTCAGTTCCTTATCTATAAAGTGGCCATAATATTACTGGCTATTACCTGTGGTGACATAAGGTGTTGGCCCTATTTTTTGTACCTTTTCTCTAAGGGATAAGCCACTTCCCCGTATGTCCAGTGTTAAACTCTCCAGAGAAACTTAGCTTCTTTTTGTAGAACAGACTGGGGAAGAGGGGGAGGTTGGGGTTGGAGGAGGGTTCCTAGAGCATCACTGTCCTGCAGGGCAAAGGGACCCAGGAATACACATTCAGGGGTAGCAATGCCTGCTGAAGCACCTTAGCTGTCTGCTGCAGCTCTGCTACTCAGAAGGAAGATGACTTTGGACAATATACTTGCCAAGCCTCAGTGTTCTCAGGAGAGGAGACACACACGCTGATACAGGGCTGGTGCAGAGTGTACTAGTGGAGGGCTTAAAAATGGGGATACTTAATGAAATCAGGGTGCTAGGTCAACTTTAGCGAACATGGCTTCAAAACTACACACTCACTTTTCTCAGCTGCTTTCTGTGGTCCTGGTTAAAATTCTGCATCATGGAAAATACTATAGGCTTGGCTCTAAGGGAAGGACCTTGTGGAGCCTTTCTGTTATTCATACAATTTCTCTCAGGAACACTTAAATCCCATTAGAAATAGGGTGTTAGCAGGTAGGGCTGCCCATCACTAAGGGCTAAATGCCTACAAGACACACACGAATATCTCAAGAAGAATGCCAAAAGCTCTCTGGTTATGCCATGCACTCAAGACTGTTTCAGTTAAAGGATGAGGGTGCCAGAGCTGATGGTGGGGGCTAGAGGTAGCTGGAAACTGGATAAAATGCTGGCACATAGGAACAGGACCCTCTGGTTCACATAAGCTTTAGGACAAACACAGGCCTTCCTCCCCATTGGCCAGGAGGCACCAGTACACTGCTGGCCTATACCATGAAGCTTCAGAAGGTGCCGGGAGCCATAAAGCTGTCTGTCTCTCCTTTTTAGCCTGTGGTGCCACAAAGGCACACATCAAAGAGGTCCTGGAGGCTGGACTGACAGCTGCTGGGATCACTGTGGTGCTGTGCAGAGCAGGACACTTACACAGAGGACATGGTGGCCCAGCTTGGGTTCTCGTGGTGCCCTCATCTCCCTTTTCTGGCTCCCCATCTGTCATGCAGTCCTGATCCTTCACCCCAAACCAGTTACTGATGCTGAATCTCTCCCACTAAGTCAGATGAGATTCCGCTGGACAGAAGCCACAGAATGGCCAAGGAGGCTTACGCACTCTGTCACTTCCAGGGCATTGGGGACACGCTCTACTTTGGTAAAATTAGAGCGCACAGCTGCGTCGTCTCCCTGGAGCCAGCTGATGGCAATGGTGATTGCGGACGTCCACCACCGACAGATGACATCTGGACCTGGAGGGGAACAGCACCAAACAACACTCTAGCACTCAAAGACAAGAGACCTGTGGTGCTCAGCAGCTGGCTACACCTTGTTACCATGGAGGGACCAGAGGGGCCTATAGGTTGTCCTCTCCCACGTTTCTGATGGGGGTATCAGCTAGCACCATCTTTTGGAAAGTGTCTGACGATGTATTAAGAGCCTTAAAAATGTTCATTCTTAACTAATCTAGTAATCCTGTTTTTGACACTTTGTAATAAGGAAATTGGCTTAAGTAGAGAAAAAAGTTTTAACAAAGATGCTCACTAGAGTGTTCTTTATTTATTTTCTCAGACAGAGCCTCAACCTGTCATCCTGGGTAGAGTGCCGTGGCATCACAGCTCACAGCAACCTCCAACTCCTGGGCTCAAGCAATTCTCCTGCCTCAGCCTTCCAAGTAGCTGGGACTATAGGCGCCTGCCACAATGCCTGGCTATTTTTTGGTTGCAGCTGTCATTGTTGTTTGGCGGGCCCGGGCTGGATTCGAACCCGCCAGCTCAGGTTGTATATGGCCGGTACCTTAGCTGCTTGAGCCACAAGTGCCGAGCCCGGAATGTTATTTTTAAGTAAAAAGTTGGAACTGGTCATGTGGCTCATGCCTGTAATCCTAGTACTCTGGGAGGCCAATGTGAGAGGATTACCTGAGCTTAGGAGTTGGAGACCAGCCTGAGCAAGAGTGAGACCCCGTCTCTACTAAAAATAGAAAAACGAGTCAGGCATTGTGGCTGGTGCCTATAGTCCCAGCTCCCTGGGAGACTGAGGCAAGAGGACTACTTGAGCCCAGGAGTCTGAGGTTGCTGAGAGCTAGGCTGATGCCACGTCCCTAGCACTCTACCCAGGACAAAAGAGTGAGATTCTGTCTTAAAAGAAAACATTGGAGGGCGGTGCCTGCGGCTCAAAGGAGTAGGGCGCTAGCCCCATATACCGGAGGTGGTGGATTCAAACCCAGCCCTGGCCAAAAAAAAAAAAGTAAAATGTTGGATACAACCTAAACGTCTGATAGCTATAAAGAATGGTGTCTTCAAGTATCTGTAACAGGCTCATGTTAGAATACTTAAAGTCTTTTCCTCTCTCAGCTTTAGCTTTTTTCAACTGAAAAATGATGATACTAGTGACCTCACAAAACAGTGGGGATGGTCATGTAAGAAAAAAGGCATGAGAGCATGTGCTTTTTGGTTTCTGCTTTTGGGAGGGTCTAGGGAACAGACATCAGGCAAGAAAGCACATGCTTTTCTAAACTCTAAAATAGAAAAGAGGGTTGGCACCTGTAGCTCAGTGAGTAGGGCGCCGGCCATGTACACTGATGCTGGCGGGTTTGAGCTCAGCCTGGGCCTGCTAAACAACAACCAAAAAATAGTTGGGTGTTGTGGCCGGCACCTGTATTCCCAGCTACTTGGGAGGCTGAGGCAAGAGAATCGCTTAAGCCTGAGTTTGAGGTTGCTGTGAGCTGTGATGCCACAGCACTCTACCCAGGGAGACATAGTGAGACTCTGTCTCAAAAAAAGAAAAAAAAAATAGAAAAGAGAGGCTACCAGGTTAGTGGTCATGATGGGGGTGGTTGTGTTTCTGGGATCTTTTTTTTTTTCTTTTTTGAGACAGAGCCTCAAAGCTGTCGCCTTGGGTAGAGAACCGTGTTATCACAGCTCACAGCAACCTCCAACTCCTGGGCTCAAGCGATTCTCCTGCCTCCACCTCCCAAGTAGCTGGGACTACAGGCGCCCGCCACAACGCCCGGCTTAGTTTTTGGTTGCAGCCGTCATTGTTGTTTGGCGGGTCCGGGCTGGATTCGAACCCGCCAGCTCAGGTGTATGTGGCTGGCACCTTAGCCCGTTGAGCCATAGGCGTCGAGCCTTGTGTTTCTGGGATCTTTCCCTCGCCAGGGAGAGTGGCCAAAGGTAGCTTGGCACCCCCATCTTCCCTAGTGGCCTCAGAAACCTGAGAATTAGCAGCTAATGTGCTACCATCCCGATGGCACTTTACAGACAGGTGTTAATTCAGCCAGGGTTACACTATGAAGCCTAAGGCAATGGGGAAGTGGTAGAGAGGCCCAGATGAAGTCTCTTCAGCAGAGCGTAAGGACTGAGAATAGCACCAGAGCCCACTGTGCAGCTGAGAGGTGAGTCCCCACCAGCCTTGGTGCCTGGACCACTTGGTGCCTGCTCTTCTGGGCATTTGGGAAGGGTCCTGACCTGGCCCACACAGCCAGGACCTGAGGAAGATGTTAACTCACTCTTTGTCCCATTTATCTGAGAACCATCATTTCCTGTCTCCAGAATGCTGCCCAGGAAGGGGTAACTATGAGGGGGCTGCCGATATGAACTTGGGATCCAGAGAAGATGACTGAGCACACACTCATACAACCCTGGAGCTCGAAAGCAAAAGAGCTGTGAAAGATTGACCTCAGTACCCCTGAGACTATGGCTTACCCAGGGCCGACTTGAGCACGGAGCTACTGGAGAGTGGCGGAGTCACAATCCCCACAGAGTCCACAAAGGAATGAAGTAATTTCAGGTACTCTAGAGCACTGGAGAATTCACTAGAAAGAAAGTTTCCTGAACATCAAAACATATACAATGACCACGCTCATGGTCTGGCTGTTCAGACGCAGTGGCCATTTCTGGTCCCCTCTCCCCCACCACCCTAGGCACATTTACACCTTTCCCCGTGCTGCCTGGGGACTTTACCAACTCTCTTCTTCATGGTCTCCAGCCTTCTTCTTGGCCTGGGGTTTGACCAAGGACTCCACAGCTCTCTCCAGAAGGTTTTTGCAGAAGGCCTGATGGACCTGGGCAATGGGGTCAGCTAAAAAAGCAGACACATTAAATGGGTTTTATTTATGAGCCCATTTTGGTCTTTATTGAGAACAGAGAATGGGGAAAGGAACCCAAGAAACAGCTATGCCCTGAACCTGGGAATTGGATTCCCCTTCTCATACAAACCCAGAATGACCAGGCTGAACAGGTAAAGACAGAGAAGGGTGACCAACCCACACTGAGGGGCACAGACTGTGTAGTTCTGGATTTGCTGGGAGTGGGTGGGTAGAATAGGAGGGTGCTGCGTCTCTCAGTACAGTGCTCGATACTTCATTCAAGGCTAGGAGCTATAAGGTGGAGCCTGGTCAAAAAATAGAAAATGGAAAAGTGGACAGCCATCTCAAGTCTCAGAGCCTGTCTCTTCTCCCTGTGGCTTAGGAGAACAACTAGCTCAGGAGAAAAGGTGGTGGCTGCTGCCATGCTCATGACAATGAAGAACCTGCTCCTGTTTTTCCAGAGCCTTGTCATGGAACCTATGATCAGCAATGACCTGGATGAGCTGATTTAACAAGGGATATAGCTAACTTTCACCAACAGATTCCCTTAGTGGGTAGCACAAATCACGGCAGCACTAGCCTTTTCTCTCCCCTCACATGTGGCAGACATGTGATCTGATGAGGATGAGGAGGAAGAACAGTTAGGAACATATACTGGGTGAAAAGGCCTAGAGCCAGAGACTGCCAAGAGGTGAAAATGCCAGCAGGAAGCCTGTATTTAGCCAGCAAGGATGGGGTGGGAAGTTTAGGACTGCTTTTGCTTTCACCTTTTATTTTTTGGTGTGGGACAAAATTCTCATATTAAGCAATAAAGTTATTATTTAAAAAACAAAAGGACAGCAGACCTCCCCACATTTAACACACATCCCTGAACCTGCAGAAACTTACCCTCCCCACAGATTCCCAATTGAGGGGAGGGAGGAAAGCATAGCAGAAAACAGAAAGCCACTGAATGCACAAGGTCTAAGTCAACCTTGACGGGCCTGCATGCTTCAAGGCCTGACCAGTCGACTCCAATCACTGTCAACTGCCAGGGATAGAAAGCCAGCACCTCCTTTCAATGCCTGAAGCCCCATCCCTGTCACCATGCTGAGCACTTGATGACTGCCTGCCACCTATTGTTCCCTGACTGCTCCACACACGTCTGTCTGCTCTCCCAGTGGGGCCAGAAGACCAGGGGCCAGGGAACAGTAAGTGCCACACATCGTTTGTGTGTCTCCAAAGTGCCAGGACAGGGCTGGAAGTTAGTTGGTGCTCCAATGCCAGAGAGAGCAGAGCCTACCCCAGTTGCTAGAGAGAGTTGAGCCTACCCCAACTTGACCTTAGGCAAGTTACTCAACCTTCCTGAGCCTCACTTAAAACAAACAAATGGATTGAGTAAGACTGAGATAATCTGCATCGCCACATGTTGTAACCCTGCCATGGTGGCTCTCATGGCTTTCTCCAACTCTGGCTGTGAGGGTGTTCTCACCTGGGTTTCTCTGGGCACAGTACAGACTCTCCTTGGCAGCTGACTTCACGGACCAGCTCCGCTCCATGAAGAACTTCTGGCCCAGAGGGTGGCAGAGCCAGCGCAGGGAGTCAGGGACAGCACTGCGCTCGGAGCCACACAGGCTCTGGGCTCGACTGAGGAAGTAGCTCTGTGGAAGGAACACTAAGGTAGCAGAATGCTGGTTGCAGCCACTGTGGGACCATCAGAAAGCACTGTGGTGGAAGCCAGCTTGAGGGGAGATTGGGAGAGATCAGTGGCGGGTCAGGACCCACATGCATGCCTGAAAGTAAACCCTGTCACTGAAACCAGGGCAAGTGCTCCGGCAGGCCTGCCAAGCTTGGTAACTAGGTCCAAACCCTAGCAGAAGGGGAGGGAGAAGCCACAGGGTACGTGGGGGTGGGGGTGGGGGGCTCTGCTGCATCTTGTCCTGCTGGGGCTATTGATTCCTACTAGTATCTGGTTCTCACCCTGCAGGTGTTCAATTTATAGGCGAGCAGAGCAGGGGGGCCATTTGCTAGGGAAAGGCCTCAGAGGCCACTCAGTGCTGCACCGCACCTTCAGCCCGGTGAGTGCCAAGCAAGGCAGCTCGCTGGCTCCTGGGACTTGTGCTCACCTGTCATTTTAATTATATATCTTTTGGAGTATTTTTAGGTAGAACTGTATTCTGCTTTGACTAATTTTTCACTTTTTTTACATTTGAGTATAGAGTATAAAACAGTGCGCAGCACCTAGCAAGTGGCCAGGATCAAATCAGACAGTCCTGGAACAAAGGGCAGCTGTGGGCTTGCTCACGTCCCACACGTGAGCATGTGTGTGCATGTGTGTGAGTGCGACACCCTCTCCACAAAACTGGACCTGCAAGGGCAGCCCCCTAAAGAAACTCCCACACCACCCTATGAGCCTCCAACATAAATACCAAGCCTGCAAGGAAAGGCCAAGAGGAGCTTTGCAAGCCTTTTCACTGGGTAATTCAGAGCCAGTGTCCCAGTCTCCAGGCCCCTTCTCCAATCCATATCATGACTCAAAATAGGCTAATGTAAATAAGGAGCAGAGCAGCGAAATACAGGAGGGAGGGAAGAACACAGACAGCACAGGGAGCCCCGAGGAGGGGCTGCTGGATCGAGGCCCGTGGACTTCAACCTTCACACTTCAGCCCCTGCCTCCACAATTGAGTGTAGCTGTTTCACGGTCTGGTTCAGTCTGATGGTTCTGACCTTTACTGGGCTCAAAGTAGCCATCAGCTAATATAGCAGCTTCAGAAGACTTGAATGCCAGGGTTAGAAATAGCACTGCCAAAGCAACTCTCAAGGACACAGACAGGGGGGACTTCTTTCCAGGAGAACCTGGAGGCAACTGCCTGAATCTGAGAGGAAACAACATGGCCAAAGTGCTCTACAGATACACACTAACACTCTCATGGCGGCTTATGGAACAAAGTGTGGCATTCACTTCAATTTCTAATCACAGGGCCAGTGGCACTAACAGTTTTTCCTCCTCTTTGCTGACCAGCCTTGAGCAAAGGAGACTGGAGAACAGGTGTAGAGCAACCCCATGACCTTCTGCCGACCCTCCACAAAGACCGAACCTGAGGTACTAACTGTAGTGGTGGGAGAATAGTTAACTGAGGAGCCAGAGGCTGGGGGTAGAGTGGCAGTGTGATTTTAGGGCTTCTTTGAATCCCCAAATCTTCTAACACTTGACTCTGATTCTAAGAACAGTCTGCTCCACATGCCTTATCAGCAAGGGAGCCTGGTGGTTGCTCCAGGGAAAATTGAGGACCAACTGGTTCCTCAGAAGGACCCAAATGTCACAAACAGAAGCAGAAACAAAGCCTAGTAAAGGTCATGTGGGAAGAAGAGCCCAGAGAAGCCAATCAGGAAACCATTAAGTTAAAACACATTTTTCTTTTTTCTTTTTTTTTTTGGAGACAGAGTCTCACTCTGTTGCCCAGGCTAGAGTGCTGTGGTGTCAGCCTAGCTCACAGCAACCACAAGCTCCTAGGTTCAAGCAATCCTCCCGCCTCAGCCTCCCAAGTAGTTGGGACTACAGGTACCTGCCACAATGCCCAGTTAATTTTTTTAAATTTTTATTTTTATTTATGTATTTATTTTTGAGATAGAATCTCACTATGTTGTCCTGGGTAGAGTGCCATGGCATCACAGCTCACAGCAACTTCAAACTCTTGGACTTAAGCGATTCTCTTGCCTCAGCCTCTCAAGTAGCTGGGACTACAGGCACCCACCACAACGTCCCGCTGTTCTCTTGTTGTAGTTGTCATTGTTGTTTAGCAGGCCTGGGCAGGGTTTGAATCTATCAGCTCTGGTGGACTCTAACCACTGAACTATGGACCCCAAGCCTAATTTTTTATAGTTTTATAGAGACAGGGTCTTGGTCTTGCTCAGGTTGGTCTCGAACTCCTTAGCTCAAGGGATCTTCCCACATTGGTCTCCCAGAGTGCTTTTATTACAGGTGTGAGTCATCGCACCAGGTTTATTTTTAATTTCTTTTTATCAAGAGAGTTTCACTTTGTTGTCTTTGGTAGAGTACTGTGGCGTCACAGCTCACAGCAGCCTCCAGCTCTTGGGTTCAAGCGATTCTCTTGCCTCAGCCTCCCAAATAGCTGGGATTACAGGTGCCCACCACAACACCTGGCTGTTTTTAGAGGCAGGGTCTCACTTTGGCTCAGGCTTGTCTAGAAGCCCTGTGAGTTCAGGCAATCCACCTGCCTCAGCCTCGTAGAGTGCTAGGATTATAGGTGTGAACCACCACGCCTGGCTTTTAAGTATATAACCAAATTCAAAGCTGCTTGTTCTTTCCTTTTAAAAAAGTACTGTCTGTGTCTCTTAATCTATCTTCTCCCAAGAGAAACAGGAGAAAGGGGCAGTTACATTAGAGAAGACAGATCTTCTCCTTTTTCCATCTTACTGGCTCTGGCTCTGGCTCAAATATGCAAATTTGGCAATACTTTAAAGTTTCAAATATTTATATCCTTTGCCACAGCATCACCAGCTCTAGGGAGTTAGTCTGAGGAAGCACTTGTAGAAGTGCATGAAGACAATGCAGATAAATGCTCCCTGCAGTACTGTTTCTCACAGCAAGTTACCAGAAACAACCCAAATGTCCATCAGCAGCACTAAGTACCTCTTAAAGATTTACCATTAGATTGAAAAAAGCAAGTGGCAAACAGTGCTTAGGGTATAATCACACAAAATATATTATATTGTATATGTATTAGTACGTACAGGAAAAAAAGCTCTGAGGAAAATACACATTGAAAGTTCACTGCTTGGGGCCATGTACGGTGGCTCACGCCTGTAATCCTAGCACTCTTAAGAGGCTGAGGCAGGTGGCCTGAACTCACAGGTTCGAGACCAGCCTGAGCCAGAGCAAGTGCCAATCTCTAAAAAGTAGCTGGGCATTGTGGCGGGCACCTGTAGTCACAGCTACTTGGGAGGCTGAGGCAAGGAGATCGCTTGAACCCAAGAGTTTGAGGTTGCTATGTGCTGTGATGCCACAGAACTCTACTGAGGGCTACAAAGTGAGACTCTGTCTCAAAAAAAAAAAAAAAAGTTCACTGCTTGCTGGGCATATCAAGCATTTTCTGGCAGAAGGGGCACGTGGCAGGGGGCTATTTAAGGCTACCATTTTTCTGGCCTCAGCTGCCACATATGCCTTCCTAAAATGGGCTGAGTCTCTTTTAAAGGGCAGTTGTGTCTTAGCAATAAGGACAAATGAAACTCTACTGGGGCTTTGGGATGAAAAGATGGTCTTAAAATTAATATGAAAAGGTAACACAACAAAAAATAGTCCCTAAAACTGGAGGACACAACCAGACATCACAACATATTAGAACACATAGCCAACAGGGTTGTATGGTGGAGGTACAGAGAACAGACTAGAATTCAGAAGCAGAGATAACACACACAGACATGTGATTTATTTAAAAAGGCACCACTCAGTGCACTGGGGAAAGGACGGGTTTCTTTTTTTTCCTAAATAACAGGTCTGGGTCAGACAGACATATACATATTAAAAAAAAAATGGACCTTTTATACCCTTGACCTCTCAACTCATACAAAAATCAGTTTCAGGGGGATTAGGTATCTGTGTGTGAAGCATATAAAATAAAGCTTCTAGTAGATGACATAGGAGAATATCGTCATTATTTTGATGTATGGCAAAGCTTTACTGAATAGGAGACGATATCTGACTATAAAGGAAAAGTCCAATAATCTAGATTTTGGTAAAGTAAGAACTCGTGCTATCAATAGATACTATTAAGAGAAAGAATAGGCTTGGTGCTCATAGCTCAGTGAGTAGGGCGCCAGCCACATACACAGAGGCTTGCGGGTTCAAGCCCAGCCCGGGCCTGCTAAACAACGACAATGGCAACCAAAAAATAGCCAGGTGATGCGGTAGGTGCCTATAGTCCCAGATACTTGGGAGGCTGAGGCAAGAGAATCACTTAAGCCCAAGAGTTTGAGGTTGCTGTAAGCTGTGATGCCATAGCAGTCTACTGAGGGTGACATAGTGAGACTCTATCTCAAAAAAAAAAAAGGCTCAGTGCCTGTGGCTCAAGTGGCTAAGGCGCCAGCCACATACACCTAAGGTGGCGGGTTCGAATCCAGCCCGGGCCCGCCAAACAATGATGGCTGCAA